ATCTTCCGACTGCGTAACTTCATTATCGCCGATGACATCCCAAAGATATTGGTCTTGTAGGTAAGACTCCATACACGTTGCCCACATGTTGTAATTTTTGTTGTTCAGCTTCTTGATTCCTCCAACAACTTTAAGATCTCTCATTGTGTCAGTAGAACTTCGAACACCAAACAAGATTAGTCAACAATCTTGTGCAGTACTAAACTTCTCACGATTCTTGAAAGCTTCACTAGAGACGGTCCCCGATCGTACCGCTCTGATACCAATTGTTAAGGAAAAACTTAGAGTACGCAACTCTAACACAAGTGTTGGAGAGACAACACAAGTAAACAAATTACTTGTATTACACTCACAAAAGATTACAACACACAAACTATCAAGGACACACTTGAGAAGCTATGACACTCACTCTTTCTAGAGACACACTCTAGATCACTCACACTCCTACAAGACTATTCTTGCTTCTCACCCTCACTTGGTTGCCTTAATTGATACAAATGGTGTGGATGCCTTCTCCTTTTATAGGCATGGATGGAACCTTGGAGAACACCATGCTAGAGATATCTAGATAATTCCACTAACTTCCTAAGCTAGAATTATCTACACTAATCTTGCATGTTGGTGGAAACCTCACCATTCTTCTAAACTCTTCCACCAACTTGAACTTTGCTAGAATTCTCTAGCATGTGTATGGATCTTTCTTTGTCCATGGGTTGGATCCATCTTGGACCATTACACTTCAACACAAACACCAATTGGGTTGGTGTTGATCTTCAACAAAAGCTTCTGAAAATAATTCAGATAGCTTCTCCTTCTCCTTCTCCTTCTCCTTCACTTGAATGATGTGTTTCATATACTAGCGTATTTCTGCTCTACTAAGCATTTAAATGACTTTCAAAGTGAGCTCAAGTTTGAATTATTAAAAAAAAAGAATAACATTAGAAGTCAACGTACAAAATTCTGGTAAGCAAATTTGGTGAGTGTAGCATTACTCGTTTACTTGTAAACTTCAGGGATTTCTTCAAAGCTACCCTCATATTCGAGGGCCTTGCATGACAAGTATCGCTCCAATCACCTGGAATATTTTGTTCTGCATTGCTGAAGAAGTTGGCCTTCTTTGTGAAATCATGCGAATACCACTTCTCCTTGGCTTCCTGGGGCTACTCATGAAACCGCCGTACACCTTTCAGTACATCATCCATGACATCGAGTGGAATTGGATGGTTGACAATCTGAAAGAAACCCCATTCTTCAGATGCTTTTCGGAGGCTCATTGATGATTTTACTTCGCCTTTCGCTGTTCTCAACATTTTTGAGATCAATGACAGGAACTTGCAGGTCGTGAATGCCAGTTGTTTTGGATTGGGGATGGTAGACAAAGACGATTAGTTTTGATTAAACGAAGACAATTAGTTTTGATTAATTCGAATCTTTACAGGTAAAAGAAATTAAGGAAAACAAGTAATACTACAAACAGAAAAGAAGGCATAAAAAAGCATTGTTCGGCCGACTACTTCAACTGACTATAGAGGTGTCTAGCTAGCTGCTCTCATGTTAAATACGTGGATTCAATAATTAATATTTATCTATCTTATGTAGTGAGTTCATTACAATTAAGTTATCAATTATGTCTTCCACACCTATATTTATAACATGTGATTAATTAGTAATATAAAGTTACAATATGAGAGTCACTCTAAAAATTCGAAATAAGTAATTATAATACGTGAATTAATAATACTATATGTTGGTGTACCCGCCGTACTAAAAACTTTTTCAATCAAATACTCATATTACAAGTGTGATTAGTAACATCTGCACATAGAAATGTGACCGTTGGTCTTGAAAACTTCTCAATTAAAGAGGATTCTATTTCATATGGTTTCCTTTTCAATTCAAATACCTTATGGTTTCCTTTCATATTGATGAAGGGTTGGTGATGACAAGTTATCGTTACAAATTAATATGACCCCGCCCATTGGTGCAGAAGCCATCGGAAAACTCACATCATTAGCCTCTCCGGTGGATTGTAGATCAGATGGAGAGAGGAGAGCGAAAGGGAACAAACTCGGAGAGACGGGGAAGTTAAAGTTATGTTTGGGTGAGGGATGCTATGTCCCAAGGTATTGCCAATTAATTAATATTGGATGGATCACAAAATGTGAGATATTTATGGATCACCGAAGATGAAGGTCACTTCGAAGAAATTTATGAAATCTACATGGTGAGCCATAACTTCTGAAGGTCACTTCCAAGAAATCACAGAACATGGGATTTGTGTACCTTACAAAAGAGGTTTTACCAAAAAACCGATTGACTATATGAGACTAGCCTAACTTACTCATAAGTCCATGCAAAATTCCATCTCTCATCAATATGAGATTTATTCTCCTCAATCGGACTATTAATACTGATGAATGTTCGTGTACAACCAAATTAGAGGTAGGTGATGACATATTGAGGTGAAAAGCTTGATGTTAAGCCATAGCCATGATACTAAGTATGAAAATAGCTAATTTAGTGCATATTTTGGTATGAAACATTCCTGTTGACTTGCTGTTCTAACTCTACAAAGTCGAACGTTCCTGCAATTTTATCAACTATGGATGATGTATGGGATTCTGATGAATGTTTTTGTTGAAGAAGATTTGGGTTTGAAAAACGGTTAAAGTTGGTCGAAAATTTCATAGATGTCCCTTTGAAAAATAATCGTCCCCATAGTAGAAAATATCCAGCTCCCTAGTGATTAAGTAACCAACTAAAGGGTTTAAGCCAGTTGAGGTTTTGTCCAACTTTTGAGAATTTAAAATTGCCTAGGTTAGTTGATCATGGCAGTTTGGGACCTGGCTTTTCTGCCCTCCCAGTTCCCATACTCTCATCCCCTTCTATTTGTGCGGTCACGGTTAAGCCACGTCAATATTTTATATTGATTTTTTTATAGAGATAATAAGATAAAAAGTAATATATGGAAGTGTATAGGAACTTGAAGGGGAGAGAAGTCAAGTCCGGCAATTTATCTATTCCCTTACACCCTATGATGGGAGTTAGGTTATTTTACTTTTAGCCGCACTCTTGATTAAGTGTTTTCCTAGATGATCGTACGTTGATGCGAGAATTATACGCACACAAATTAAACCCTCTTTTTGACAATTGTAGTATGGATGTAAGTAGGGATCGTTCTGGACCGGGGATTAGGAGGGATTGTTAATCTCTTGGAAAATGACTCAAAAACGTAAAAACAATATAAAACACTAAACTAGACTCAAAGAATGTGAAACTAAACGTTAAAACACTAAGACAAACCAAAAGACTCAAAATGCTTTAAAAACACAAACTAAATTGATTTCTAACTATATTGAACATTAAAGCAAAAGGGGGATTGAGTTTTGGACGGAATTAAACTAAATGAACAAATTGCAATTAAAACATAATGTAAATATGAAATTGATGAAATGGAATGAATGGATGCTAGCCAAGGGGTTCATCTCCACACATGTTACACTTGCATAATAAAACGATTTCCAATTGCTTTTCAATAAACCATGAATTCTCAACGCCCTGGGTTAATTAGGCCCGCTTAAATTAACCGTCAAGTTTTCCTTAAGTTAATGAATTGGATGATTGCATACGACAATCCAAAGCATTCCTCACAAGTTCCCTACATGAATTGCATAATAGAGATACAAGCAAGAATCATTAAGCAATATGAAAACTATAAGTGTTGACGAGGCATTCGTTACTATGATTGCATGAAACTTATGCCAAGAATTTGTTTAACGCGATTGTTTATAAGCAACCTCCACTACTTGTGAATATAAGTTCATAACTATTACGTGAAACTCACTTATATTCTAGCGTCAAATTCATGCATGAAAATTAAGCGTCGACTCTCAATAAACATACATAAATAGGTTATCAATCAAATAGTTAAACAAATTGAATTCACAACTTATGAAACGTAATTAGAAGTACTCAAATCATATTGCAAGCATAAACATATATTTCGAATCACCCCCTAGCTAAAGGGGGGGGGTTTAGTTCCTCATACGTACAAAACAAAGAGAATTGAAATTAAACATTGAAATCGAAGAAACGCCTAAACATTCCAACAACTCAAACTTGAATTGTATGAACGTTTAGGCCCTCTTCTCTTCCTCTTCGTTGTAGCATAAGGTCTAGGGATAGTTGGGTTGGGGGAATGGAAGTGTGGAATGAAGTGAGGAGTGATGGAAGTGGAAGATGGTTTTTGGATTCTAAGGGAGAGAAACTCACGGCTAGGGAAGTGTTTGTGGTGTGTTGTGTTGTGAATGAGATGATGCAAATGAATGAAGTGTGTGTGGTTTATATAGGGAGAGGATGGATGGGAGAGCATGTGAATGATAGCTAGGAGAATGATTAAAGGGGTGTGAATGGTTGGAAATGCATGTGGGTGAATTGGTGGTGCAATGATGAAAGAATAAGTGCATGTGTGTGTTTTGTGTTGGAATGAATGTGGATGCATGATGAAGAGTTAATAAATAATGCATGTAGGGTTAGGAAATAAAATCATAACTTAAAGGGGGGATGATTATAGGGTGTGGCTAGGTTGGAAAGGTGTGGAAGATGGATGGAATTAGGGGGAATGCATGGCAATGATGGGGAGTTCTTTGGTGATGAATGCAATGATGAAGAGTGAATAAATAATGCATGTAGGGTTAGCTAGGTTGGCTTTGTTTGGGTGCATGTGAGTTAAAGAGGGAGAATGTGGTGAAATGATGAAGTAGGAAGGTGGAAATGCATGTGAATGCATGTGTGTGTGAATGGGTGTTTCTTGATGGTTTTGGGGTTGTGATGCATGTGAATGCATGTGGCTAAGGCTTGTTGATTGGGCTAGAGGTTTTGCATGGCTCAAAGGATTGTTTGATTGGGCTAGGCCCTTTGTTTTATGTCCAAAGTGCATACAAGGCTTTCAAATTCGTCCAACACTTTGGCTCCAAAAATATGCTATCCATTCCAAGCCCAATTTTGCTCCAAAATGCTCCAAAATGCATCTTTTTGCTTCCTTAGCCATATGAACCTAAAAACACACGAAAATAGCTTAAACTACTAAAACAACTATGAATTAACAACATAGATGCACAAAAACAAGCTAAGTAAGTCGCCTAAATATGCTCCTATCATACGTCACTACAAAAAATATGAGCACTACACACAATAAATTATTTGAGCTCTTAGAGGCCGAAAAGCACCAACAATGGTGCCCATAGACCAATAGCAACAGTGCAGCAACCATATTTCTATCTGTGCCCTCTATGGGCGTTACCTTTGATCATTGGGGATATTATGGTCTTTGATGCCCAAAAAGCTCAGCACAAATAGGGGTTCTTTTGTGTCTCAGTTTTGACAGCTCTAACAATACTGACTTTTTCCAAGCCATGTTAGCACAGTTTTGTTTTGTGCCCAATACGTTAAATATTAAAAAAAACAAATTCAAATATTACAAACAAGCTTTTACAATTTAGTTCTATAAACAATCAATTCATACGAATAATGAAAACAAGCATTTCTGAACACTTGAATCTTTCCCAGAAAGCTTTTACTTCATCCCATCTTCATGTTCCACAAATAAATTAATCAGCTGGTCTATATAGAATCTGGGCCTCTTCCTGCCAAGGTTATGAATAAAAACCTCAAAGATAAAGAAACCACACAACTTACAAGAACAACGAAACTGAAAGGAAAATACATGAATGTCAAAATAGCTGTATTTTCTCTAAAATGATTTGAATACGTTCACTATATCATCGGCAATTTTGAAAACTCATTCTTAACAATTGTATTCATGATATCAGTAGGTAGAATGTTAAATCTAGAGTCATGTGATTTAAGTATAGTCGTCAGACACCAGAATAAATACACCATAAATTCAAACCACTTCCACATTCCATCTCAAATTACACACAAACGAATACAAAAATTAAAATCAAAACCTATTTGGATTCGAAACAGAAGCAGATCAGCATTAAATCTCAACCACTTGTCAAAATGAAGTCGGGATTAAGAGGAGTTTGATTTTACCAAAATCGAGGCCAAGGGATGGCTAGGGGTGGCCGGAAATTGGCCTGAAAGCCCAGTTTAGGTCTCTACGAATCCCTGACAGATTCGAGCATGTAAAGCTCGAATCTGGTCCCTGGGATTATGGGCAGTTAGTTTGTGGTGTCAGTCTCATACAAGACGACGAGATTTGGTAGGAAAATCTCGGGAAACCTGCAACTCGCCGGAACAGTAGAGAACGTTTGCTCTCCGTTCAATCTCGCAAACGTAAAAGAAATTTCACATGCAAGGATAGAAAACAACTTAGAACATCGAAAGGAGTTAAACGGAGGTAGTTACAGACCTTACCTCGGTAGGGAAAGCGATGAACTCGCCGGAACTCTCGGATTCGAGACGGAGCTCTGGCTCTCCAATTTCAGGTTCGAGTCTAAGTTCTGGGACTCTGGGTTCTAGTTCCGTGTTTACTGTGAGGTTGGGACGAGGATGGTGGTGATTTGGCGTTCGAAGTCGCCGGAGAACGTGGTGGCTGTGTTGCTCGGGGAGAAGCGAGCCAAGAGAGAGAAGAGAAGGATGAGGGACAGAGGGAGAAGGGAGAAGAGGAACCGAGGTAGAAGAGAGACAGGTGTGGGGATGGCCGAAAGAAGTGAGGGGAAAATGAGGGGCTTTGCGCGGGGAAGAGAGACCCACACGTGGGTAGGTCCCACGGCATACCACTCAAACATAAATAATTCAAATGCACAAATCCATAATTGTGCCAACATGAGAGATGCAGAGTTTCAGCGTGGGGGATAGGGATGGCAGAAAGAGAGGGAGGGGAAAATGAGGGGGTTTGCACGGCGAAGAGGAAGTCACACGTGGGTGGGTCCCACGGCACACCACTCAAACATGAACAATATTAAAATAATTCAAATGCACAAATCCATAATTGTGCCAATATATTCTTAGGGTGTGATATTCACACACCTTTTTTTACTTCTCACACATCTTTTTAATTTTCGGTCGTCGGATTGAATGAATTGAATAAGATCAAAGGACATAAATTAATAAAAGATGTGTAAGAAGTAAAAAAGTATATGTAAATAGCACATCCTTATATTCTTTTACTGAATGAGAAGTGGAATGATTTATTATTTATTACTATTTACTGGACACAATTTTTAAAATTTGTGTCACAAAAAAGAAATTTATAATTATTAATATTCAATGGGCATTTATTTTCAAATTGTATCATTTGTCTATCTCAAGACCCATACCATTATTTACCACAATTTTATAATCTAATTTTTTGTGTGTGCTAAATGTAAACTGTAAAAACCAAAACACATAAAGTGGTGCTCACAAACAAATTTTTGTTGGTTTGTAGACTCTTATTTGAATAAATTTCGACTCCGTAATTTTTTCAAGAACTGATCTAGTTGGTAAAGCCCTCTAATTTGACAGCAGAAAGTATCGAATAAGAAAATAAATTTAGAAAACATCCGCTTGATCCAAACAATGGACTTGCCAGGTGATGGTGATGAAATGTGTGTGTCCTTGATCAATAAAAACTAATACTAAAATTTGATTTGTGTCCAAACTGGTGAATGTAGACACAAACATTGTGCCTACAAAATCAAATGATTTAAATATATTAAATTAGAGGGCATGAAAATGTTGTTTGTGTTTTTGTAAATTAATAAAAAATTAGTATTACGGATATCCATAAATAGTGACACAAATTTTGTGTTCAAATTCTAATAGGCACCAATAAACTTTTGTTTAGACACTAACTAATGTGCCTTTTTGTTCAGAAAGCATATTTGTGATAGTTTTGTGTTCATTGACATCTAAGAGCACCATTATATATTTGTGCTCAACGAAATTTAAAAGGGCACAAATCAATTGTGTTCTTAGATCATATTTTTTGTAGTGCGTTGCCTTGCCAAGACTGATAGCTTATACCAAACTCGCAATTCACATTCAGTAGCGCAACTACTATGAATCAAAAAAATCAATTAATATTAAGAGCAGGGTTGAGCGCACATGATTACTTGTTCTATCATCACTAGGTCTATACTTTGTTGGAGGTCTTAGGTTTGACTCACAAGATTGCAAGAACGACATATATGTGAAGTAAGTTTGATGCTAAGTCATGATGAATTAACAGCCCGTTTATGAAAGTGTCACCATAAAAAAAAGGGCATTGCCACAGTTTACCAAAACAAAACGAAATTATTTAACATGGAAAATGATAGAACACAAAAACATGTTTGGACGATTATGCAGATCGCTTTTTGTATCAAAGAAAGAAAAGGGGATCCAAACTCGGAATGTTCTTATTAGGAATTGTCAACATACATATGTAACGCTTTATTACATCGGAACAGAGGAAATGATCAGCAGATCAAACTCCAAACTTCAGAAAAGGTGAATCACTTTAATACCAAAAGAGCCGAATAAAAGTGAAATCAAGCATACCAACATAACCAAAACTCTTCCAAGTTTCAACATAACTAGCAATTAGGCTCAGTGCAATTCTGAAACAAGGAAGCACAAAGTTACCATCTTATCCCTTCAAATCTAAAGTTTATAACGTTTCATGTATTCTCCAAAACAGACATCTTCGTATTTTGCCGGATTGTTTTCGGAGATGAGCTCCTTTAACGGACCGTATGGTTTTTGGAGGTCGTCGGTGCCAACAAAACATGCAATTGACGTACGGGGCTCGAGGGTCGACAGTGGCATCAGTACTCTGTGCTGTACACTCTTGAAGTTGCCATTAGTAATAAACTGTACAGTGAATATACACACGTGAATGATGTGGATGAATTAATTAGTCTGTCATGTATACTATTTTATATATATGTGACGTGCTTAACCAAAAGCACTCTGTATCGAGTAAAAAACTATGGTTAAACTAAAATTAGCTAGTAGTGACAGTACCTGCAACATGTCGGCAAGATTGATGAGCAAAGCTCCCTCCACTGGGGGAACATCAATCCAAATATTTTGATGAAGAACTTGTAGGCCAGCACTATCTTGCAAGAGCAAGGTTAGAAAGCCGAGATCGGAGTGTTTGGTTCCTCCTAGGGTTAAATGGGGCTCCGGGCATACCGGGTAGTAGTGGCATGCCAATGACCTAGATTTGAAGCACCTTAGATTTTCAAGGTAATCACTGCTTAGGCCTAAAGCTTCCGAAAATAATCCGGATAGCTTCTCCTTCACTTGAACGATGTACTTCATATACTCACGTATTTCCGTTCTGCAAAATAAGCATTTAAACAGTTTTCAGATTGAGCTCAAATTTGAATATGATGTTAGTTAGTAAAGAAAATTTGGGTTTTTTGAAATGGATCCAAAGTAACTAAAAATTGGACATATTTCAAAAATAAAAAATCATTAAAAATTGGACCTATTTTAAAAGGTAGTTTATAAAATTGGACCTATTTTAAAAGGTAGTTTATAAAATTGGACCAAATTTTGTGAGTGTAGTATTACTCATTTACCTGCAGACTTCAGGGATTTCTTCAAAGTTGCGTTCATCTTCGAGGACCTTGCATGACAAGGTGTCTCTCCAGTCAGCTGGAGTGTCTACCTTCAATTCTCCATTGCAGAAGAAGTTGACCTTCTTCGTGAAATCACGCGAATACCACTCCTCCTTGGCTTCCTGGGGCTGCTCATGAAACCGCCGAACACCTTTCAGCACATCATCCATGACGTCAAGTGGAATGGGATGATTCACAATTTGAAAGAAACCCCATTCTTCAGCTGCTTTGCGGAGGTTACTGATGATTTCGCTTCTCCTTTCGTTGTTCTCCGCATCTTTGAGATCGATGACAGGAACTTGCAGGTCGTGAATTCCATTGTTTTGGTTCGGGGATGGTAGACACTCCGGAGGGTGTTTGAACATTCTTGGGAGCTTGGTCACCCCAGAATCTACAAGCCCTTTCACACCAGCTTTGGTTTCGTCGAACTGTTTCAGTTCCTTCTCCAGCTCATGATCCAACACATCCACCATCTTGAATTTTTATGATTAGTGAAATACAAGTTTAACTGATAACTTCAGTGGATTATCAGGGTTTATCCAGTGCAAGTTGAATGAGTAGGATTTGCTACTTATATAGCCGATTAGCCGGGAGACAATTTTCTTTGTTTAATTTTGTAATTAGGGAGATAATAGTGATGGAGGCGGCGTGCTTAGAAGATTCGTGAGTCTTACAGAAGCAACGACAATTTGTTTTGATTGATTGGTCAATGTGTGGCTAAGCATCAATTATTTGCTCTCTTACACCTACTTCTACTTTTGGTGGAAACCTTTCCCAGTAGTGGGTTGGTGGGATCTTATTAAATAATATAGATTATAAGAGGCTTAATTCAAAGGGATAACTAGTTGATGAGCACGTGTGAACAATTTTTTTTTTTTTTGTTAAGGAATGTGATTAGTTTTTTAAATTTTAAAAAGAGTATGAAAAAAAATGATGGTGGGACAATTTATCTTGAACCAAACCCAACCCTGAGCTAAATGTTATTTTTTAGGTTTTATTCCCCCCCCCCCAAAAAAAAACCCAACCCAACACATGCTAAATGTGTAGGCTAAAAGGCAAAAGCCAAACAAAAACCAAATTCCCCTCAGGATTTAGCCCAGAAAATGGTGTGGGCACCACCAGTGGGACCAAGACCCCACCCACATGGGCATGTCCCTCAGGATTTAATGAATTCAACGGTTGAGATCGAATATAATCAAATCTAATGGTAAAAAAAAAAGATCTAACAGCCCAAATTTAAATTAGACGGCTAACATTATTAAAAAAAATATTTAACTTAAAATTCACCCAAATTTAGTGACTTTTCAATATTTATTGGAATTAAAATTTTTTTAGGTTAAAATGTTCATAAAATTAAGGGTAAATTACACTTTATCATCTCAAGTTTAAGGTCTATTGTAACCTCATACAACATCTTCAAAACATTTCATTTTCATACCTCACCTACTATTTTATTTCAATATGGTACCTCCGTTACATTTTCCATCCATTGATCCGTTAAGAGCTGACATGGCTGCCATATTTGTGCCACGTGGCTACCAAATTTGTGCCACATGGTAAAAAAATAATTTTTTATTCATTTAAAAATAATTAATTAATTTAAAAGAAGTTATATTTAAAATTATAAAAAAAAAATCAACCCAGAACCCATCTTCCCCCAACCCACCTCCCTCTCCTCCACTATCTTCACCTCCCTTGTAAACCCCCACCCCACCCACACCTCCCCCGCAACACCCCCCCCCCACCTTCTCTTTCTCCTCCTTCTTCACCTCCCTGACCTTCATCCCTTCCATCCCTATAACTACGCCATACACCACCCCAAAATCCCAACCCCCATCCTCACAGCTCCGCTCTCCACCACCACCACCGCTCTTGATGTGACCAGCTAGGCCCCTTCTTGGGCCAACCGGTTCGTGCTTCGGTCCTCTAAGGCCAAGCCTAAACCCAAATCCAAACCCGTCGCTAAACAAGAACCGGTCCCGAAGTCTAAGCCAGAGCTCAAACCTTCATGAGAAGATCTGGATGCCCGGACTGTGAAGAAGAAAGATGAAGAAGGAAGCACGCTGAAGGCTAAAGACTCAAATGGCGGTTTGAAAACCAAAAATGGCAATGTATCGAAAGAGGATGAACCCCGTCACTTTAGAAATGGAGATTGATTTGTCTCTCAATCGAGACCCGAAGAATTTCGATGAAGATTGCGCTAGTAGATTGAAAATGACAAAGCAGGTTAATTTTGTGCTTAAACATTGTAGCAATAGCTTGAGTATGTTTTGGATGTTGTGACATTGTTGCCTACACTGTTATATAATGAAAGTGGTTATGTTTATGTTTATTTTCAGACTCTGTAGGGAGATGAAGGTTGGGGAGGGAGAAAGGGGGTGGGGGTGGTGAGGTAGGAGACTGGTGGGTTTTGGGTGGGTGGGTGGGGTGGGTGGGGTGGGTGGGAGGGGTGGGGGTTGCTCAGGAGGTGGGGGTGGGGTAGGATGGGGTGTTTGGGTTGCAGGGAAGGGAAAGGGCTCAGGGAAGAAGATGGGTTTTTTTTTTAATTTTTTTTTAATAAATAGGGTAAATTATTATAATATTTTAAATGAATGAAAAATTATTTTTTTGCCACATGGCACAAATTTGGCAACCACATTAGCACAAATGTGGCAGTCACGTCAGCTCTTAACAGATCAATGGATGAAAAATGTAACGCAGGTACTATATTGAAATAAAATAGTAGGTGAGGTATGAAATTGAAATGTTTTGAAGATGTTGTATGAACCCCAAACCTAAGGTGGTAAAGTGTAATGTACCCTAAAATTAAATTATGACAGTGTACATAATTTATTTTATTTTTTTAAATTACTTTAAAAGAAAAAATTAGCCTAAATTTATTCTTTAATAATCACAGACTAAAAAATTTAGGACAAAAGGATTAGAGCAAAAAAGCTGCTTCTGGGCTAAAACCTAAATTTTCTAGGCTAAAAATTTTAGGTTTTAGCCCAAGGGTTGGAGATAGTCTTAATAAGTGCATATTTTATCTTAATATTACATAAATACTGTTTTTTGTCCTCCTTATGTAAATATTGTGTATCAAAAGTGACGGTAAATTGGAAAAATAAGGATATGATTGTCATTTTGTGAAAAGGTACAAAATTACTACTTTACCCTTCTCATGTCAATATTGTGTTAGGCCTGGCAAACGGGTCATGTTTGTCGTGTTCGTGTCGTTTTCATGTAACACATGTTATCTTAACGAGTCATGTCTTGTCACAACCGTTATCTTAACGGGTCCTTAACAAGTGCAAGTCACTTTACCCAACGGGTAAAGTGACCCGACCCATTATGACCCGTTAAGAAAAATATATATTTTTTCTTAAATTTGCACATACCACACATTGCCACATAAATATTACTTCAAAACATTAAAATATATTTGTCGTTTAAGTACTACATCTACACTCGAAAATAAGAGCCTAATAAACAAACATTCATACACTACTAGTCTATTACAAAATATTAAATGTGCAAGGATATACAAAATGAAACAGTTTTTGTTTTCAAGGTTGTGAAGGCTTTCTCAAAAGTTTAAACCTTGCCAATGCAACTCAAAGCTTGCACGTTATTCTTTTTACAAAATCCTCAATTTTCATCGATCATAGTGTAAATATTTTAAATTGAAGATCGAATTCATTCAGTATATTCATATAGGGTCAAGGAGTGTAGTTTTAAACAATCATCAAAATTGGAGTTAAAATAACCGTTAAATCGTGATTTTTCGTTGATAACCGTCAAAAAGTTTTGTCCCTTTACTTGATCTCTGAATGTTTGTTTTTTGCGATTTTTGGCGTATGCGATCTTGAAGCATATACAAACAAGTTTGACGGTTGGATCATTGAAATTAGTTTCGTAGAATGCATAACCCATCAAAATGATAGATTCACTAACACTTAGAGTTTATTTATACTTTCATTAAGTATAACATATTCATATAGGGTCAAGGAGTGTAGCTGTAAAAAATGATCAAAATCGAAGTTAAAATAACTGTTAAATAGTGATTTTTCGTGATAACCGTCGAAAAGTTTTGTCTCGTTACTTGATCTCTGAATGTTTATTTTTTGCAATTTTTGGCGTATGCGATCTTGAAGTATATACAAACATGTTTGACAGTTGGATTGTTGAAACTAGTTTCTTAGAATGCATATCCCATCAAAGCAATAGATTCACTAACACTTAAGAGTTTATGATCATACTTTCATTAAGTATAATATAAGATTTTGTAGTATCCACTAGTGTAAATATTTTAAATTGAAGATCGTGTTCATTCATTGTATTCATATAGGGTCAAGGAGTGTAGCTGTAAAAAATCATCAAAATCGAAGTTAAAATAACCGTTAAATCGTGATTTTTCGTTGATAACCGTCGAAAAGTTTTGTCCCATTACTTGATCTCTGAATGTTTGTTTTTTGCAATTTTTGGTATATGCGATCTCAAAGTATATACAAACATGCTTGGTGGTTGGATCGTTGAAACTAGTTTTGTAGAATGCATATCCCATCAAAACAATAGATTCACTAACATTTAAGAGTTTATTCATACTTTCATTAAGTATAACGTGGTATCCACTAGTGTAAATATTTTAAATTGAAGATAGAGTTCATTCATTGTATTCGTATAAGGTCAAGGAGTGTAGCTGTAAAAAATCATCAAAATTGGAGTTAATAAATAGTGATTTTTTGTTGATAACCGTAAAAAAGTTTTGTCCTGTTACTTGATCTCTGAATGTTTGTTTTTTGCGATTTTTGGCGTATGCGATCTTGAAGCATATAGAAAGAAATTTGACGGTTGGATCGTTGAAATTAGTTTCGTAGAATGTGTATCCCATCAAAATGATAGATTTACTAACACTTAGAGTTTATTTATACTTTCATTAAGTGTAACATAAGATTTTGTGGTATCCACTAGTGTAAATATTCTAAATTGAAGATTGAATTCATTCATTGTATTAATATAGGGTCAAGGAGTGTAGTTGTAAAAAATCATCAAATCGGAGTTAAAATAACCGTTAAATCGTGAATTTTCGTTTATAACCATCGAAAAGTTTTGTCCCGTTACTTGATCTCTGAATGTTTGTTTTTTGCAATTTTTGATGTATGCGATCTCGAAGTATATACAAACATGTTTGACGGTTGGATCGTTGAAACTAGTTTCGTAGAATGCGTATCCCATCAAAACAATAGATTCACTAACACTAAAGAGTTTATTCATACTTTCATTTAAGTATAACATAAGATTTTGTGGTATCCATTAGTTTAAATATTTTAAATTGAAGATCGAGTTCATTCACTGTATTCATATAGGATTAAGGAGTGTAGCTATAATAAAGAGTGTGTGGATATCACCAAAGATCAATCCATGGCGATGATACCGTGTTAATGATATAGAGATCGCAGTCTTTAACTATTGCAGAAAGCTTAAGAAACAAGAAAGCTATGGAGGAAGGAGAGAGAAAACTGGTGAAATGTAATTTTGTATTGAATGTATGAAAACTTAACAGAATTATTACATAGTGTAGCAGCTTATATAGCTGCGGTGCCTTTTCTTACAAGCTAAATAATTATCCTAACT